GTCAGTCAGGGAAAGATAAATGCCATATGATTTCACGCACATGTGGATATTTTTTTTTTTTTAAGATTTTATTTACTTATTCACGTAAGAGAGACAGAGACAAGCAGAAGGAGAAATAGGCTCCCGGCAAGGAGCCAGATCTGGGAGTTGATCCAGATCCCAGGATCACGCCCTGAGCTGAAGGCAGATGCTCAACTGCTGAGCCACCCAGGTGTCCCTCACAGTCCCTCACAAGTGGAATTTAAGAAACAAAACAACTGAATAAAGAAAACCAGACTCTTAAATACAAAGAACATAATGGTGGTTGCCAGAGGAGAGGTGGGTGAGCAATGAATGACACAGATAAAGGGAATTAAGAGTACGCATATGATAAAGATTGAATAAAGTATAAAAATGCTGAATCATTCTGTTGTATACCTATTTCGATAAAAATAATTTTAAGGGGTGCATGGGTGACTTAGTCAGCTGAGTATCCAAGTTGATCTCAGCTCAGGTCTTAACCTTGGGGTCATGAGTTCAGGCCCCACGTTGGGCTTCAGGCAAAGTGCAGAGCCTACTTTAAAAAAAAATTTTTTTAAGGTCTAACAGAAGTGTGTATGAACATGGATGTACTGGAGGCAGGAAGGAAAATGAAACAAATATAAAATGTTGACAATTGTGGAAACTGGATGAAACAAATATGGGATTTCAGGGAGAGTTTAAAAATTTCCAAAATTTAATAACTTAATAAATTTAATAATTTCCAAAAAACATTTTTCTAAAGATTTTTTTATTTATTCAGAGAGAGAGAGAGAGAGAGAGAGAGAGAGAGAGGAGAGGCAGAGACACAGGCAGAGGGAGAAGCAGGCTCCATGAGGGAGCCTGACGGGGGACTCGATCCTGGGTCTCCAGGATCACACCCCAGGCTGCAGGTGGCGCTAAACCACTGCGCCACTGGGGCTGCCCCAAAAAAATTATTTTAAAAAAAGAGCAATAAAAAAAACAACTTCTGTTTCAAACATTTAAGAATCTTAATAAGCATGGAGATAGAACAGATTACCTACAAAGAAAACAAGAAGTAAGCCTGCTTTTGAATTTCTGCTCATGAGCATTAGCTATGAGGCAAAAGATCAATAGCCAGCTAGTTTAAAGGAAGAAAAGATTATGACTCAAAGATTATTTTTACCATTCAACTGGTTGTAAAAAAATATATATAAATATATATATTTTTTCCTGAGTTTTCGCTAGCATATGTGAGAATGTCTACCAACTTTAAAAAGAAATATCAAGGCTATCTGTCCTGACAGTAAGTACAAATGTATTAAACATTTATTAAAGGAGAAAATACTGACAGAAGAAGTTAAAAACAAAAAAATAAGAACCAAAAGAAAGCAGGCATCACAATATTAGGCAAAACAGACTATAAGTTAAAAGCACTGTAACAAGATCAAGAAGATAAATTTGACTTAAGCAGTTACATTCCATATAAATGCTTACCTGCTTAGTAAAAGCACTGAAATATACAGAGCAAACACTACAGAAGACAGAAGGAGAAAAAAGCAGACCACTGCAGGAGAAGCACTTTACTGCAACTCTGGCAGTCTTCAGCAGATTACACAAATCACAAGCAAGGATATAAAGATAAAGGATCAAAATAATATCTATGTAACATGTTCCATTCTAAGATCCTGTTCTTTTCCCCAAATCCACTCCTTCCCTAGTAGTCTCCAAATCACATAATGACACGACCATTCTTTCAGGTGCTCAACCCAAAATCATTAAAGTTATCATAAGAATCATAATAGTCTATAAATATTTAAGAAATTCCGAGGTGCTTGGGTTTAAGCATCTGCCTTGGGCTTAGCTTAGGTCATTATCTCAGGGTCTTAGGATAGAGCCCCGAGTCTTCAGGCCGCCTACTCAATGAGGAGTCTCCCTCAAAGGGAGAATTCAGACTCCCTTTCCCTTACCCACCCCACTCCCGTTCGTGCTCATTCATTGTCTCTCAAATAAATAAAAATCTTTAAAAATTAAAAAAATATTTAAGAGTGCTACATATATTCAAAAATATATATCCACTTATATCAATAAAACAAGTGGATATTTTTCAATCCATACATGTACACAGAAGAATATTCTTTTTTCAAGCACCCTATGGGAGAATTATAAAATTCTTACATGAATTTTATATGTTCTAAGTATACTATAGAACACAAAGAAAACCTTAATAAAGATCTATTTTTCAAAAAATTTATAATACAAGCCAAAGTACCCTAGAACAGTGAAATGAAACTAGAAATTCTTAACAAAGAACAAAACACTTTAGGACAACAGCCAACATTATGTTCTACCACAAACCAGATATTAAACTAAACAAGAGGGACATCTGGGTGGCTCAGCATTTAAGCCTCTGCCTTTGGCTCAGGGTGTGATCCTGGAATCCCAGGATCGACTACTGCATCAGGCTCCTGCATGGAGCCTACTTCTCTCTCTGCCTATGTCTGTGCCTCTCTCTCTGTGTCTCTCAGGAATAAATAAATAAAATCTTTAAAAATAAATTAATAAGTAAACTAAACAAGAAAGCTAAGGGATTGGCAATGATATCCCCATTTTACAGATAGGATGTTAAATGTAAGAGCAATGAAATTTTTTACTCAAGATAACATAGTAAATAAGTGGTAGAGCTAGATTCAACCCCAAGTTCCAGACTCTGGAGACCAAGTTCTTGATTAAATATACTCTTTAAAAAAACTCGTAGGTCAAAGAAAAATCACTGTAATTTATGGCACACTACAATAAGAACACAACATTTGGGACTGCCTAGGTGGCTCAGTTGGCTTAGTGTCCAACTCTCGACTTCGGCTCAGGTCATGATCTCAGGGTCATGGGATCGAGACCCACACTAGGCTCTGCACTCAACGAGGAGTCTGATGAAGATTTTCTCTCCCTCTGCCCCCTTTCTGCTCATGTTCTCTCTCTCTCTCTAAAATAAATAAATCTTTAAAAGAAAAACAAAACAACAACAACAAAAAAACATTTAAAAAGCTATAAAATTGGGTGCCTGGGTGGCTCACTGAACTGAGAGTCCAACTCTTTCTCGCTCAGGTCATCTCAGAGTTGTGAGATCGTGCTCCAAGTGGGTGCTCTGCCCTCAGCACAAAGTCTGCTTCAGATTTTTCCCCTCTCCCTCTGCCCCAATCCTGCTCACATTCTCTCCAAAAAATTAAATAAATCCTTTTAAAATTTTTTTAATAAAAAGCTAAAAACTGAAGCCAAAACTATAATCAGGAAATTTTTTTTTCAAATGAAAAATTATCAAATAAAAAATAGAAAAATAATTATAGAAAGCATTCAACTTAGAGGAGAAAAATAATAAAATAAATCTAAACACAGGGGAAAAAAACAATTTAAAGGAAAAAGCAAAGGGGATGCCTGGCTGGTTTAGTTGGTAGAGGCTATGACTCTTTGCTATCAGGGTTTTTACATTCAAATCCCACATTAGGTATAGAGATTACTTAAAAATACAATCTTTAAAAAAAAAATACAATCTTTAAAAAAAAAAAATTCTACCTTTCTAGCATTTCAAGAGATGCAAATTAAAAGGAAAAAGTGGGGCATTCGGTGGCTCTGTCAGTTGAGCATTCAACTCTTATATCCAGCTCAGGTCATAATCTCAAGGTTGTGAGATCAGCCCCACGTCTAGCTCCAAAAAGTCTGCTTAAGAGTCTCTCCTTTTGGGGCAGCCCACATGGCTCAGCAGTTTAGAGCCGCCTTCAGCCATGGTGTGATCCTGGAGACCCGGGATCAAGTCCCATGTCAGGCTCCCTGCATGGAGCCTGCTTCTCCCTCTGCCTGTGTTTCTGCCTCTCTCTCCCTCTCTCTCTCTCTCTGTCTCTGATGAATGAATGAATGAATGAATGAATGAATAAATATAAATAAATAAACCTTAAAAAAAAAAAGAGTCTCTCCTCCTGGCAACCCCCCTCAACCAACCCTGCTCGTGGGTACACCCATGTGTGCTGGCCTCTGTCTCTCTCTCAAAAAAAAAATGATATTCCAATTTAAAAAAATAAATAAAAGGAAAATGAATTAGTGAATCAGGAAGAAAAAATAGATAGTAAAACATCATATTTCAAGCACACTTTCTTTGGCAGCATAAAAAGTTACAAAACTATTAAGAGGCATTTCAAAAACTTTAAAAACTTTACAGTTTCAAACATATTTAAGGCAGAAAAAAATGATATAATCAGATGATATACCCATCATATACCCACAATAATTAATAAATGGCTTATCTTGCTTCATTTATTCCCGTATCAGCTTAACATTTTTTTTTTTTTAAAAAGATGTATTTATTTGAGAAAGAGAGAGAAAGCACATGGCAAGCAGGGGCACAGGGAAAGTCTCAAGCAGACTCTGTACTGAGCATGGGCCCGATGCTGGGCTCTCTCTTACTACTACCCTTGAGATCATGACCTGAGCCAAAACCAAGAGTCAGGTGCCCAACTGACTACACCACCCAGGCACCCCTGAACATTTTTAAATACTAGAGTAGAGGGATCCCTGGGTGGCGCAGCGGTTTGGCGCCTGCCTTTGGCCCAGGGCGCGATCCTGGAGACCCGGGATCGAGTCCCACGTCGGGCTCCCGGTGCATGGAGCCTGCTTCTCCCTCTGCCTGTGTCTCTGCGCCTCTCTCTCTCTCTCTCTCCTCTCTCTCTGTGACTATCATAAATAAATAAAAATTAAAAAATAAATAAATAAATACTAGAGTAGATATTTTCAGTGTCAAATATTATGTTCTACCTCAAAGAAAGGACTGTCACTCTGTCATTCTTTCTCTTCCTCCCTCTGTCACCTAGGTGTAAGGTCTTACAAATCTCTAAACATTTGGTAAGGCTCTTAGGAGTAAGTACTCAATTCACATTTGCCACTGGTCATAATTTATATAAAACACAGCACACCTTACTCTATATGCATAATGCCATAAATATCAAGACAACAGACAATAAATAATAACTTACTTGAACTTCCCGAAACTTCCTTGTCATCCACATCGGAATTATTCTTTCCAGATGTTAAATAATTCTTAATCCTGAAAGGTCCACTTTAAGATAAAAAAGTAAACCATAAATTTGTGCATTTATAATACATATATCTAATTATGTACCTTGATGGTCATTTTTCTCCCAAAACTGCCAAAGGTTTCCTTCTTATAAAACTAACATTGATGTTATAGGTCACCAAATATATATGTACATGATGCATAAAACAATCTATAATTTAGTCTTATAACCGTCAAATGCTGAAAACAAATGCTGAATTTTATAACCTTTTAAGCTTCATGAATCAGTTATAAATTTTAAGTCAACTCAAGCAACACCCCTTGATAAAAATTAAATCATAAAAAATTAGAAATAAATCAGCTTGTCTTAGTTAAAAAATACAGTAAAAAACAAGTGGAATTTAAAATATGGTCCAGAAATTGCTCAGAGATAATTCAGCTTATCCTAGTCCTAGATTCCTTTCCTTCTATTATGAATCCAGGATAGGCCTACTAGTCATAACTCACCAAACAGTAAAGAAATCTTAGCCATCACTTAAAAGTCTTGGGAATCTGTTATAATTTACCATTCCTTCATTTTAAAAAAGGGTATATGACTTCAGATATATACATACCTTCCTTCCAAAACTGAAGTCTTAGGCTCTCCAGAATCCAAGTTAGATTCTGCTGGAGTCTTGCATGTAAATTCCTTGATCTGAGACTTCAGATGAACATTTTGTGTGGTCATATTACCTTGCTTCTTTGGATTTCCTAGACCTCTGTAAAAATGTAAAGTGTAAAATTGTTTTCATTCCTCCATAAAATATTCTTCCAGAAACAATACACAATGAGTAGAGAATATAATACTGGCTGTAACAAATATCAGATAATCCTGTTCAGGTCTTAGGACTTACTAGAGTAGGAAAAAGAAATTTGATTCTAGGACCTACTAAGAATAATTCTGATAAGAAAACTGGTAGACACCTGGCCTAAGATGGAAGTGATGACAGGAGAACACGGGGAGACACTACCTACAGGCAGGATATAATGTATTTTACACATTTATCTTTTTTTTGAAAATCCACAAACAACTGAAACTGTTTTCTTTGACACCCCTATCCAGCCTATTGAGGAACAGTAGGGGGCTAAGAGGCACTCAGGCTCACCTCTTTAATAGCTAACATCTAATTAGTTTATCTCCTATATATGCATATAGGATATACTATTCCCAAACTATACTACAACTTTTCTCACCTTTCTAAGCCCTATGTTTTACTTTGTTTCTTGACTCATTCTAACAGCCTACTCTTATTATACTTGAGGAAGAAATTTGCATACGACATAACTAAAGAGCATGCAAACTTTTGAGTATTCTTTGATATTTTATTTCTGAAGGTTCTACTATTGGTCTAGGTCCTATGATCAGAGTCTAAAGAAATAAAAGGGATTATAAGAGAATATTATGAACAATTATACATCAACAAATTAGATAACCTAGATGAAGTGGAAAAATTCCTAAAGATACGCTAATTACCAAAACTGATTCAAGAAGAAATAATCCCAAAAGACCTGTAACAAGAGAATGAATCAGTAATCAAAAAAACTCCCTAGAAAGAAAAGCCCAGGCCCAAATGGTTTCATTGATGAATTCTACCAAGCATTCAAAGAATACAAATTCTTCACAAACTCTTTCAAAAGACAGAAGAGAACTTATCTTATGAAGCCAGGATTATTTTGATAACAAAACTCAACAAAGACGTCACAAGAAAACCAGAGACCAAAATAACTCAATAACATAATAGCAAAAGAAATCTAGCAATGTATAAATAGAATTATATGTCCCATTGGTCCCATCGTGCCCAAATGGGATTTATACCAGAGACGCAGTTTGGTCTACCATACTAAAACCAATTAATATATCATCTGAGTAAGAAACAAAAATCATATCATATTAAAAGATGCAAAAAAAAAAAAAGCATTCCACAAAATCAAATAGCTTTTTATGAAAGAAACACCCAACAAACTAGAACTAGACGGGAACTGCCTCAACCTGATAAAGAGTATATATGAAAAACCTACAGCTAGCAACACACTAAATGGTGAAAGAATGGATGCTTTCCTCTTAAAATTTAGGAACAAGACAAAGAAGTCTGCTGTTGCCACTTCTATTAAACACTGTACTAAAGACTTTAGCCGGGGCAATTAGGCAATATAAAATAAATAAATACAAGATTTGAAAAGAAGGGTAAAAGTATCTCTATTCACAAATGATATGGTTTTTGTACTCAGAAAATCCTATGAAATCCACTAAAAAGCTATCAAAACTAATAAATGACTTTAGCAAGGTTGCATAATACAAGATCAAATATTAATTGTATTTCCATACACTTGCAATGAACATCCAAAAATAAAATTTAAAAAGCAATTCCTGGGCAGCCCCGTTGGCGCAGCGGTTTAGCGCCACCTTCAGCCCAGGGTGTGATCCTGGAGACCCAGGATCGAGTCCTGCTTCAGGCTCCCTGCATGGAGCCTGCTTCTCCCTCTGCCTGTGTTTCTGCCTCCCTCTCTCTCTGAATAAATAAATAAATAAATAAGCAAATAAATAAATAATCTTCTAAAAAATAAATAAATAAATAAAAAGCAATTCCTTTCACAATACCATCAAAACAAATAAAATGCTTAGGGATGATTTAACAAAATAAGTATAAAACTTATGCTCTGAAAACACTCTTGCAATAAGTTAAAGATCTCAATAAATGGAAAAATATCACATGTTCATGTATCAATATATTTATTGTTAAAATGGCAATGTTCCCTCAAACTGATACACAAATCCAATGCAATCCGTATCAGAATCTCAAATGAAGTCTTCGTAGAAATTGGCATGCTGATTTTAAAATGTATATGGGATTGCAAGGAACGCATAATAGTCAAAACAATTCTATAAAGGAAAAATAAAAAGGACTCATACCTCTTGATCTCAAATCTTATCATAGCAATGGTAATCACAACAGTATAGTACTAGACCCAGAACTGATACACAAATCAAGAAGGAAAAAATTGAGAACCCAGAAAGAAACTCTCATATATTACGGTCAACTGATTTTCAATAATGGTGTCAAGACCATTCTATGGGGAAAACAAGTCTTTTCAACAAACACTAATGGGACAATTGGATAGTCAACATGGAGAAGAATAGTGAAACCTTTACTTCACAGAATATATAAAAATTAGCAAGATGGATGAAAGACCTAAATGTAAGAGAGTTAAAACTATAAAACTCTTAGAAGAAAAGATAGAGGCAAATCTTCATGAACTTGGGATTCTTAGATATGACATCAAAAGTATAAACAACAAAATGATAAAATAGATTGGACTTTATAAAAATTAAAAGCTTATGAGCTTCAAAGGACACCATGAAGAAGCAAAAAAAACAACCCAAAGGAGAAAATACCTGCAAATCCCTTATTTGACAAGAGACTTGTATCCAAATATATAAAGATCTTTTACAGCATAATTTTTTTCTTACAACATAAATTTAAAAAAAAGGCAATCCGACTAAAAATTAGGCTGAACAGATCTTTTTCTAAAGACATGCAAATGACGAATAAACACACGAAAAGATGCTCAACATCATTAGTCATCTGGGAAATGCAAATGAAAACCACAATGAGATACCACTTTCATACCAACTAGGATAGCTAGAATCAAAGTCAGATGATAACAACTGCTGGCAAGGATGTAGAAATACTGGAATCCTCATACACTGCTGGTAGAAATGTAAAATGGTGCAGATGCTTTGGAAAACAGTCTTGCAGTACCTCAAACAATTTAAATATAGAGTTACCATATGACTAAGCAATTCCAATCCTAGGTATATGTCCAAGAGACATGAAAACATATGTTCATATAGAAACCTGTTACACAAATGTTTATGCCAGCATTATTCACAAGAGCTAAAAGAACCCAAATGTCCATCAACGAATGACTAAATAAACGAAACATGGCAAAACCGTAAAATAAAATATTTGGTCCTAAAAAGTAATAAAGTACTGATACATGCTACAACATGAATAAAACCTGAAAATATCCAAACAGGGGGCACCTGGGTGGCTCAGGCGGTTAAGTAACTGACTCTTGATCTCAGCTCAGGTCTTGATTTCAGGGTCCTAAGTTCAAGCCCCATGGGGTAAAAAAAAAGAAAGAAAATATCCAAACAGAAAGAAGCCAATACAAAAAACTCATATTACAGGATTTCATTCAGATTAAAATCCAAAATGTAAAATCTATACAAACAAAAATTATATTAGTGGCTGCTTAAAGCAGTGGAAGAGGGACTACAGAAATGCTAACTAAAGGGCACTGGCTTCTTTGTGAAGTGCTGAAAATGCTCCAAAATGGACTATGTTGATGGTTTGCACCTTCCTGTGAATATATTTAAAAACCATTGAGTTGTGCACATTTCATGAGTGAATTTTAAGTCTACTGTAATGAGCTTCTGTTCCATCCAGCTTATAGAAATAATACAGAAATTAAGTGATTCCATAAATTTAAATGAAAGAAACTCAGTGGAAACTGTTTATGATTTAAGTCCTCTAGCCCTTAAACTTTTGTTCCCAAAAGTTTTAACAGGGAAGAAGGAAGTTAGCATTTATTAATGCTCATGGTTATAAAAAAATAAAAAATAACACTTAAAAGTTTCAATATCGTCACATACTTGTAGAGAAGTAACTCACAACATTTCTAATCAGGAAGCTGCCTTAATTTTAAAAAAAAGCTAGATGCCTTAGACAAATTAATCAATTTCGGCTTAAAAACTATTACCCAACTCCTCTCTGATTTCAACATGTGTATGTGTGTGTATGTATATGGGTATATCACATAATATTCTAGTATTAAAAAGGTTTAAATTTATTTTCTCCCAAAAATCCTAGTAAGTTTTAATTCCTAAAATTCCTCTCCTGGTACGAATGGTATGAATAACATCTTTGAACATTACAAAATATAAAATTATGTGCCCAACTAAGTTAAATAATAATAATAGACAATATAATGTCTTTTTTTAACATTCATTTATTTATTTGAAAGAAAACGCAAACGGGGGGGGGGAGGCAGCAGAGCAGAGGGAGAGAATCTCAAGGAGACTCCCCACTCAACATGTGGGGCTCGATTCCACAACCCATGAGATCATGACCTGAGCTGAAAGCATTAGTTGGACACTTAACTGACTGAGCCACCCAGGTGCCCTGGTAACGTCTTTTTTAAAAAAGCAATTAATTTTTTTTTTAAAGAAAAATTTATTTTATTGAGAGAAAGAGAGCACACAAAGTGGGGGGAGGGGCAGAGGGAAGCAGATTCCTCACTGAGCACAAAGCCCATGGTGGGGTTCTACCCCACGACCCCAGGATCATGACCTGAGCCCAAAACAAGAGCTGGAGGTTCAATCAACTGAGCTACCCAATCATCCCAGAATTTTTATAGTGCCATAAATTATAAGAACTCAAAGTATCAAGCTAAATTGTGTTTTCAAACCCCTTAGTTAGCTTTAAGACTTTAGATTAATATTGAATTATGTTAATAATTAATTTTTGGATCCATGGACAATTCCTAAGATAAAAGATACAAAACTGGTTTCTTTTTTCTTTTTTTTTTTAAGATTTTATTTATTTATTCATGAGAGAGAGAGAGAGAGAGAGAGGCAGAGACACAGGCAGAGGGAGAAGCAGGCTCTATGCAAGGAGCCTGACATGGGACTTGATCTCGGGTCTCCAGGTTCACA